GTGACCGATATTTTGCGGGTGTCCAGCTTTTTGAACGCGCTTCCTGTTCACAAGGATTTCCTCGCCAGCCTCATCCACAACGCTTCGTGACTGCTGAGCAAAGAGCAAGTGGCAGCAGTACCCCATTTTAAAGTGGTATTTGCAGGGACAGTATGCAGTCCGAAGATCGACCGGCCAGCCAGTACGAGGCTGGCCCTCAACCTCCATGCGCGCGTAGTGCACCAAACTGAGCAGAAATCGCCATATCTTCTCTCGCGCGGTTAAGCTCTGGGACAAACGTCCTCGCGGGAGGCAGCGCGCGCACGTGTACGAGGTCAGGGTCAGCGTCGCCAAGGAGAAAGTCTATGCTGGACCTGGCAACGATGTTCTCACTCAGCAGTCCGCGGCGACGAAGCCCCCGTGTGCGTGTCTGAAGCGTCGTCGAGCAGGTGGACACGAGCGAGGACTGAGGCAACGCCATTGAGCGGTGGCCACAACATGCGAGTAGCTGGGCGAGCAGCATTCCCATTTTCAGCTGGCGGTGGTGAGTGTAGTCCCGTTTCAGCACTCGGTTGAATTGCTCAACCGGGTTGTTGGTAGTGGCATACCCGGATGGCGTCAGAAAGCACTGCCAGTTTGCGAAGTTGCCTTCAAGCCATTGGGCCTTCATGTACATGGTGAAGGCAGCGAGATCCGCGTGTCCAGACCACTCCTTCAACATAGCCGCCTTCTGGTCGACATATTCGGCATCGCTCTGCGCAAAATGCAAGTTGTATATGCCCTTGTATACCAATGCAGACATATCTGAGCTGAAACCACGAGTACGCTCACGCAACTTCGCCACCACGTGGTAAAAGCACATAAGGTACGTAAATGAGCTGTCAGCGAAGACACTGCGGAAGGCCTTGTGTTGTGCCTTGTCCGCGTCACCAAGCACGAATTTCACTCGTCACTCTGCTCCGTTAACCCTGGCATATACACAACGCAATGCAACGAGCGCGGCCACGAAATGCTTGTACTGGAGCTGTGACGTGATAAAAAGCGCTACTAGGTGAAACGCCCTGGAGGCGTCGGTAATGCCGCAGACGAGGACTGGATACCCGACGCTGTTCAGCTTGAACGTTGCGTCCAGGTGCAAGACACAGGCTCCGCTGTTTCTTGCAGCGTTACGAGGTAGCGCCTTCGTCGTCATTCCTACTAGAAACGGCCGAGCATCTGAGCCGTTCCCAACCTCAGGAAGGCTACTCGTGTCGTATGCACTAGTGAACGTGAAAGGGTCGTGGTCACCTTCACGTCCACTAAATGCTGAGACCCTCACCGACTCCACGATCGCCTTGCGCTTGTCGTTTCCACCAAGCTGCGTGCGCCGAAAGTGGTGTACGATGTTTTGCACCTCTCGCAGACTGGGTAATTCTGCAGGAGGGAGATCAAATTTGCGTCCCAAAGCGTGCCGGATGCGTACCGACATTAGGTTTTCACGGGCGAGTTCCTTGATGAACTCGCGACACCTCGGCGTAATGCATGACCTGGATGGCGTTCGCGCACGCGAATGATGGTCGCCTAGCTCGTGCATGTCGACGGTGTCTGTATCTTGGCAGACCAAGACCTTCATCCGCCAGGTGCAGGCCAGGTAGGGAACGGCATCCGTACAGTGCTTGCAAGCGCAGCGTAGAAGCTTGTGGCGCATTGTGTGCGCATCACCGCTGGTACAAGCCGTGCACGGCATCAGCTGACTTTTGACCGTCTTCCAAGTCTTCATTCCTTGGAGAAGGAGGGCAGCGTCTTCGGACGAAACGCCGCTGCAGAGTAGGTTCCAGGTGTGAGAGCTGGGCATCGGTGCACGACTGAGCTGGTGGGTGGCCTAGGCAGTTGGAAGCTTGTTTGAAAGTAAAGAGCGTTCAAAACTGCAAGCTCTAGGGCGAGCTAGACCAGTTATCTTGTACTTTTGGGTACGGATGGCGTGATATGATTGGGTAAAATCATTTAAATAGAGGCATATGACTGGATGAAAAGAATCGTTTTGTGCTGAAACACACTATGGGATGATTATTTACAGATTTTTGTGTCGCCTGTGATTTTGTGGTGGGCCCGAATGTTTTTATGTGATAAAAACACGTGGTCTTGTGTTTGTCAGCTCGCATGGAGTTTTTTAGTTTTTTGTGGTGGTTTTAGAACCTTGTCCTGGTTTCCGCCTTTCATTTCGAAATTGACCGAGTATCCTCTAAGGGAAATCATCAATTTAGGGCCGCGAACCAGTTTAGGGCCGCATAAGTTACTGCCAATCATATACAGTACTCCATTGAGCTTGGAAACTATTGGTTATAATAAGGTAAGTACGAATACCTATAAAATTTTAATTTGCAAAAGGGGTGAACTCTTGGCGCCATATTTTTATTCAGCTCCTCCAACCAAATGAGGTTGTTGAGCGCCATCCACTCCGTTCAAACATTTGCAAGAAGAAAACAAACGCTTCCCTTTTTATTTGTCCGACCCAAGCCATGTCTAAGACTCGCCACACTTACTCTACTGACACCAAGACTGCCATTGTGGCAAAAATACTCAGCGGTGCGGCGGTTCCCGAGGTCGCGGCGCTAACCAAGATACTTGAGAGGACATGCTTCCGCCCAGCGCCACCCACCTATTGCAGCCTCTGGACGTTGCAGACTGCAACTTGCAGTTAATGCGACACTAAAAGTGAAACTCTGCAATCTGATAAAGGAGGTTGTTGACGAGGACGATGAAAGCTGTTATTCGATTGACAAACCCAACGCAATAAAGCCTGCAAATATGGTTTGGGCCACCAGCAGCAGAACACGTACTAAGTCGCGCAGAAAATCTGCAGTCGCCACCGAAGGCAAAGGCGATGGAGTCCCTCAAGAGACGAGCGCAACCCAACATATTGTCAATTCCGTCGTAGTGTAGCTAATCAGCAAAAAGGTTAGTTGCTATCTTTACACAATGTTTAAGAATTGATAACTTACCTTTTCAGTGCGAAGAATTAACGGCAACGAGTAGACTCGAACCCGCGACACCCCTGCTCCCATAATGGGCCCTCAATAAGCTAGCGTCTAAACGACTGAGCTGTCAGCACTTGACGTTTCTGATTTTGTTTTGGTAATGACAGACGTTTGATTATTCTTGCACAATTATGTATCCTCCATAATTTTATCAAGACGCATAAAAATAAAAAGAAAGGGTGATCAAACCCTATGCTTGAATGGGCTTGAAATTTTCACCAGCTGAGCATTTTAATACTGAAGTTAAGCTTAAATGCGGCCCTGAACTGATGCGACAGAAATTTCTGCTGCCGTGTCCTGAACGATCAATGCTATTGGTCATTGGCCGCAAAAAATACGATAAAAAATCAGATTACAAGCTTTCGGACACTGTCTCGCTTTGTGTCCCTGTGCAAATAGTTGCCGAGTTATGTGACTTTTTTTCAGGGTGGCCCTAAATTGATGATTTCCCTTAATACTTCCGGTGCCTGCAAAACGTTTCCGATGCGCTTCAGTGTTTTCCTTGTGGTGGTGGTAACCACTTTTGCTGTGAGCTGCTTTGATTTTACCTGCGCCAAGGAACAAGTCAAGATCCAAGCCTTCGACGACATGTGAAGAGATATCCTCTTGAAAATGAAAGAGAACCCTGGGCTCGTGGACAAGCTGAAGGCGCTCGGTCAGCTAAAAACCAATAAGAGAAGCAACGTGGTGGAGGATCTCCCACAGAACCTCAGGAAGAAGCCTCGTACGGACTAGCTACTACCTGGTACTCAGTAGGCATCACAGCGAACTAATGACACTTCCACTCGTTGTCAACGGAGCTGTTATTATGTAAACGCCAGTGAACTGAATTATCGACAAGCTGGTAGAACTAAAGGTGCTCAACAACGTCGGGATTAATACTCGGTGGCAATTACGGCATCTGCCTTGAGGGGTAAGTACATGATAGCGTGCAGGCTATCATTGCGTATTATTAATACCAAGCCACTCACGTAGAAACCAATTCTCTGACTCCAGTTGGTGTTTCAATTCCGTAAAATCTCTTACCTGGGTATTTATATTCGTGAGGATCCATAAATTCATGAAGGTATTTAAAAAAATAAAGTGTAACAACACCAATGAGTATTTAACTTTGAATGTTGTACAGAAATCTGCCTGAATAAGGAACGGGGTTTCAATTAATAACCTCGCAATTTTTATAGTCAGGGAAGATTTAGGGAGATGGGATAGTGATGGGCAAGGTACTGACAAAACAATCCAGGCACTGACTTTGATTTCAATTTAAAAAATATCGCGCAGTAGGTGATCCTCCTTCGCTTCAAGCCCTACCTGCCGAACTTCATTCCTACATTTACATTCAAGCTCACTAGCCGACTGCGTCCACTAAGTAATGTCCGTGTTGAGAAGCTACTCCCGAACACCACCGCCAAGATCCAGACGCTGGATCAGGGAATCATCAATAGCATTAAGCACTACATCTTATCGCAAAAAATGATGTTCGTATTGGATCGCCTAGGCGAAGGTCTCGGCAACCAGTACAGCGTCGACCAGCTAACTGCACTGCTCTGGTGCGAGGCTGCATGGTCTAAAGTGAGCGCTTCCACGATTCAGCACACTCTGGTCTCATTCAAAAGTCGAATCTTCATTTATCCTAACTTAATTCAATATATGCACATAATCCGATATCATAGTCTGTTTCTAGCTAGGGAATTGTCAGCTTATGCAATCTCTTTCTTAATTTATATCAGGCGTTCCTTATTCAGGCAGATTTCTGTACCTGGAGAAGTAATTTAAAACCTATTTTATTACTTCGAAGTACCGGTATAAAACAAAATGTGTACAATCCTGTTCGCAAATTCCTATAGGCGTATTTTACCAGACGTGGTTTAATTGCTCCTCAATTTAAGTGTAAACACATTGTGTGTTTGTACAGATACCGATGCATCATGGAGTTTTCAGGCGATAATGCTCCTCTAATGCAAGTCTGTTGCCATTGTTGAAGTGATGTTAACTAAACGCAGACGCTTACTGGCCCTCACAGAACGACTTGGCGTTCTGGAAGATCTGCATCCACGGACTGACCGGGTGCGCTTTGAACTCAGCCGGCATGTACGGCCACTGGTACTTGAGAAAACAGCGTTCCGGGTGCGGCATGAGGCACATGTGGCGGCCATCGCTCGACACGAGACCGGCAATACCCTGCGGCGAGCCGTTCGGGTTGAACGGGTACTCCTCCGTCGGCACGTTGGAGTCATCCACGTAGCGGATAGCGGCGGCGCCACTGGCCACGTACGTCTTCTGGATCTTCGGGTGCGTAAAGTGCGCGCGGCCCTCGCCGTGCGAGACCCAGACACCCAGGGACGAGCCGGCCATGCCACGCAGCATCACCGCGTTCGATTCCTGGATCTGCACCGACACGAAGCGAGACTCGTGACGGCCCGACTCGTTGTGTACGAAACGCGGCTGGGACGACGTCTTCGTCTCTTCCTCCAGAGCCTTGGCCTCTGGGCGGTCGAGCCAGCCAAGCAGAGTCATGAACTGGCAGCCATTGCACGCACCGAAACTGAACGTGTCGTCGCGAGCCTTGAACGCCGCGAACTGCTTCAACACGTCGCCGTGGAACTTGACGACGCCCGACCAGCCCTTGGCCGAGCCCAGTACATCAGCGAATGTGAATCCGCCTACGAACGCCACGCCGCGGAAGCCTTCGTCCAGCACGACGCGCTTGTTGACCAGGTCCGACATGGTGACGTCCCACACCTCGAAGCCGGCGTGATGGAATGCGGCCAGCATCTCACGCTCACCGTTGCTACCTTCCTCACGAAGGACGGCCACGCGGTGCTGGGCACGGGTGCTCAACTGACGCTCGGGCGTGGCCTTGGGTTCGTACGACAGCTTCCAGGACGGAGCTGTACGCGTACGCAGCGAACGCTGTTCCTGGGCCACGCACTCGGGGTTGCACTGGCGCTTCTCAAGCTCGAAGCTGGTCGCCTCCCACACGTCACGTAGGTCCGCCATCTGGTCCTCCAATACACTCTTGCCATTCACGCTCACCTTAATGGTGCCGTCCGTCGTCACCTTACCTAGCTTGACAAGCGGCACGTTCAGCTTGCTGAAGATCGCCTCCACTTCGGTGGCGTGCTGGCCAGCGGCCACTTGGAAGACAAAGCCCAGTTCCTCGGCGAACAGCAACTGGATAACGTCCTTGGTCGTGGTCTTGCCGCCGGCGAACGGAATGTTCACGTCGAGGCCGCAATTGCCAGCGAAAGCCATCTCCAGCAACGTAACAATGAGGCCACCGTCGCTACGGTCGTGGCCGGCAAGCAGGTGGCCGTTCTTGATGCCGGTCTGGACGGCGTTGAACGCGTTCTTGAACAGTTCGGGGTCCTCGACGTCCGGCGACACATTGCCAACCTGGCCGTACACCTGAGCCAGTGCCGAGCCGCCCAGACGATTGGCGCCCTTGCCCACGTCCACGTAGTACACGAAGCTGTCGCCGGCGTGTGTCTTGAGGTCCGGTGTCACCTTTAGTTCCACGTCCTCCGTCGGCGCGTACATGGTAATAACCAGCGTGCCGGGCGTCTTGACGTCCTTCTTGTTGACCTTGGCGGCCATGGACAGCGAGTCCTTGCCGCCGTCGACGGCCACACCAACCTGCTTCATGAACGTGGTCATGGCCTCACAGCACTCGTACATGCGCGCAGCCTCATTGGGCAGCTTGGCCGCCCACATCCAGTTGGCCGAACACTTGCAGTCGTCCAGGCCACGGCCACCAAGCGCAGCCCACACCATGTTAGTCAGCGACTCGCCCACACTCAAACGGGCCATAGCGCCAGGGTTCACCAGGCCCTTCACAGGCTGTTCGCCACACGCACTGACAACACCAGTGAACTTGCCATCCTTGTTGGGAAGGTGCGACTGGGCCACAACGGCGCAGTCGGCCAGCGTCATCTGAAGCGGGCCGACAGTCTGCTGCTGCGCAATCAGGCCGCTGACCGAGCGATCCACCTTACTGGTCAGGAACCGCTTCGAGCCGACCGACAGGAGACGCAGCACACGGTCCAGCGCGTCGCGCAGAGTAATGTCCGCCGGGAGCGACAGCTCCGAGACGGGCTCCGTGGCCTTCGTGTCCGTGAATATCTTCTGAGGCATCTTACCCAGCACCAGGTCCAAGTCCAGGTCGAATGGGGTCGAGTCGTCCTGCGAGTCGTGCAGTACCACGTGGCCGTCGCCAGTCACCTGGCCCAGCAGCGCGTACGGGCAGTTCTCACGCTTACAGATCTTGTCGAATAGCTCCACGTGCTCCGGACGCAGCAGCAACGCATCGTTCTCTTGGTACTCCGCGCCCCAGATCTCCAGAACAGACAGCGTGTCGTCACCCACCAGAATGTCGCGCACCTCGTAGCGCGCGCCGCCACGGTTAGCGTCGCCAGGCTTCGAGTTGGACACCTCGACGATCTCCTTCAGCACGTTACCGTTGCCACCGGCACCCTGGTCGTGGATGGACACGATGGGGTTCTTCTCACCCAGGTCGCAACACGCACGGATCACCTTGTTCAGTTTGCACTCCATCTCGGCGTCGCCACGCTGGACAGCGTTGAAGTCCAGGTCGGCCGTCTTGGTATCCTGGATACGGCTGGAGGCCGCACCTCCGCCCATACCGATACGGTAGCACGGGCCACCGATCTTGACCACCCACATCTGAATCTCCGGTTCACCCTTCGTGCAGTGACGGCCATCGAGTTGGCCGAGGCCGGCCGAGAACATAATGGGCTTAATGTACTCGCGACGCTCACCGTTAGGCAGCACCATACCGAACGAACGGGCAAAACCCGTGACAACGGGTTCACCGAACTTGTTACCGTAGTCGGACGCACCGTTGGAAGCCTGGACTAGGATATCACGTGGGTGGGCCAGGTTGGGACGGGTACTCCAGCTTCTCGTCTTCCCATGGCAGCTTGTAGCCTTCAAGGTTAAGGTTACCGACGGAGTACGCGCTGATGCCGGCCACGACGTTAGCACCACGGCCAGTCGCCTGCACGTCACGGATACGGCCGCCCGTGCCCGTCTCAGCACCAGGGAACGGGGCCACGCCGGATGGGAAGTTGTGGGTCTCGGCCGTCAGCAACAAGTGGCTGTCCAGGGTGCGTTCCTGCACGGCCGAGGGCTCACCGGGGTTTACGGGACCGAGGGTCACAATGTTGGCGCCCTTGATGACCGAAGAGTTGTCGTGGAAGGCGATGACGCTGTTCTTCTTGGCGTTCTCCGTGAGCGTGTTCTTCACCATCTGGAAAAGCGTCTGCGGCATCTCCTTGCTGTCCACGACGATCTTACCGCCGAAGAACCAATGACGCGAGTGCTCCGAGTTACTTTGGCCCATGTCAAAGCACTCGACGTCCGTCGGGTTGCGTTGCAGCTTCTCCTTGAATAGGTTTAGGTAGTACTGCAGGTCCCAGTCATCGAAGCCCAGACCGATCTCCTCGTTGATCTCCTTTAACGCGTCAATGCCCCGCTCCATGATGGGAATCTTACGGACGGGCTGTACCGTCTTACCGTGCCAGAAGCTGGTCAGAGGCTCCTCGTACACCTGCTGCGTCATGCGGTCACATTCGTGACGAAGAAGTGCCTGCTTAAGCGTCTCAACGGCCTCCGGCTTGGTGGCCGTGTAGCGCACCAAGTATCGCGTGGCCCGCTCAATGCGCTTGATGGCCGAGATGCCACAAGCCTGGCAAATGACCACAGCGTTGCTAGACCAGGCCGTGGAGAAGTTCATGCGTGGCCCGACCTCCACGAGCCATTCTTTGCTCTGCTCCGAGGTGGCCAGGAACGGCTGGTCCGGTCGCGTCTGCTGCGGCTCGAAAGTCTCGCTCAGCAGCCAGTGGAGCGTCTCCTGATCGGCGGCCAACAGCGGGCCAGTATCGGCCTTGGTCTCCACGTAGAAGCAGTACTCGGTCACGAGCTCATCCACCTGCAGGCCAGCCTCAGCGCCCACCTGAGCGCGCAGATTGGCCAGCAGCGTGCGGTTGGCGTGGGCCGTGAAGGCCGGCGTACGGTAGAAGCGCAGTAGCGAGCTGGCGGTCGAGATGGACGCCGTCTTCTGCTTCTTCTCGGGCGACGAGGCCATAGTTAAAGGTGGGTGAAGCTCGTAGAGCGGACGGTGGAGCGGACACTGCAAATTGCGTAGTGCGTGTTGCATCTTGCAGCCATGGCCAGTCGCTCAATATGGCTACGTCATTTTTATCCAACCGCCAGCAGCTACTCCATTTCAGCCAATCCTTTTCGTTCTTCAGCTCCACCTCACATCATTGTCAGCAAAAAGATGCTGCAACGTGGGGTGGTGCGCGCCGCGCGCGGCTTGCGTTCTTCTCCAGCGTGCGCTTCAGCTGCTAAATACTTCAGTAACAGCACGCGCTTCAGCTCAAGTCGCTCGCGGTCTGTAGCTTCCGTTTTCGCTTCTCCGCTTCTCCCGAGAGCTGGTCTCTTAGCCGCTGCTGCTGTCAGCACCAGCGCCGCGTGCGCTTTCTGCTCTGCTTCTGTCGTAGAGACTAACGCCGTGCCAAAAGACGGTGGCAATGCGCTACCCAACGTTGTTCTGTACCAATACGAACCGTGTCCGTATTGCTGCAAGGTGAAGGCTGTGCTGGACTACCTCAAGATCCCGTACGAGGTGGTGGGGGTGAACCCGCTCACCAAGAAGGAAACCAAGGCTTTCACGGATTACCGCAAGGTACCGGTAGTCCGTATCGATGATGAAGTGGTTGTAGACTCCTCTGCTATCATTTCACGACTACGGGAGCTCGTAGAGGCGCCCAAAGGCTCTCAGAGCGAAAAAGCTCTAGAGGAGGAGGAAGAGTGGCGTCAATGGGTCGACAAGAAGCTCATCCTCTTAACTCCGCCCAACATCTACCGCACTGTACCGGAGGCTCTCCAAGCTTTTGATTATTGCTTGACAGAAGGGAAATTTACGCCCATGGAGCGCCGTATGTCCAAGTACGCGGGTGCTGTGATCATGTATCTCATTGCAAAGCGGTCCAAGAAGAAGTACAACATCGATGACGAACGCCAAGAGCTCTACTCGGCGTTGAACAGCTGGGTGGACGCTATTGGCGACAAACGTCCGTTCCTCGGTGGTGACGAGCCCAACATGGCTGATTTGTCGGTCTTTGGCGTTCTGCGTGCCATGAAGGGACTCGACACGTACAGTGACATGATGCGTGAGACCAACATCGAGCCCTGGTTCACGCGCATGACGTCCAAGGTCGGATCCAGCTCGCGTACAGCTAGCGATTAGACCAAAATGGAGAAAACAATACGACACCGATTGAGCTTGACGGACTTGTGGGTGCGACTTAGAATTGGTAGCGCTATTAACATCGCACTGACCGGTGAAATTGGCCAGCGATGAGTACAAGAACACCTGGCGACTGCGAGTGACTGCATGTGTCGGAGCCAAGGAGGCAGGTCGTTGATCATAGTCGTGCTACGAACTTGTGTGGCGCACTTCTCTGCTTTGCCCTCTCTAACAACGGCGTCCTTTACCTCGTTCATGGTGTTCTGGTGTATCCATGTTCATCGGCGATCACCGAAATGATGTACACAAGCTGCATAATCATCTATTGATTGGCTAAAATTTCATCACAATTATCGATTGGGTAAAACTCAGCCCGATCTATTACGCCAAATCGCTCATTTAGACCCATGTACAGCGCTTCGCAGCTTGTGGCGCTGGGCGTGTCCCTTGCGATCTGCGCAGCCGCAGTGCTGTATGCCAACTACTTTGCCGCACTGTTCCCGACACGAGAAGTCTCGCTGAGCGTCACGGAGCAGCAGCAGATGTTAACGTCGCTGGTCTTCCACGCGTCCAAAAGCGGAGACGCTGCAGCCAACGGCGCTGACAAAGAAACACGCGATCCTCCACGCCTGGCCTTCTGCTGCAGCGCTGATTTGGACGTAGCTGTCCCTGCTGTTGAGCTTATGCAGAGCGTACAGGAGGTGGACCGCCAGCACCACCACAAGAAGAAAACCCACGGAAAGATCTCCAAGGACTTAACCAAGCGCCACCACGAGCGTATCGGCTCACTCAAAGAGCTCCAAGAGAGTTTTGCCTATTACTTCTCCTCTGGCGCAGCTGCTGAGCAAAGTATGCTCTCCCCAGAGCAGTTTAGAGAGGTAGTAGCGCTTGCCGATGCTCTGCCACAAGTGAAGAGGAAAGTGGGCGGCAATGCTGCTACAATGGCCGAAAGAGCGTCAGCAGAGGGTTGCGTGGTGTTGCTGGGTGCAGCTATGGGCAAAGACATGAAGCCCTACTTCGTAGACCAGCGTATTCAACTTGTGGGCCACTTGGAGGAACATGAGCACGAGGATGTGCATCTGGTGCTGGAATACTCGAGCGGGGACGAGTTCCGAGGACATATCTCCCCCCGTGCAAACCGATATTACTTGAATCATGACATACACAACGCGCAATTGTCCGTTCTCGAGGAATTCGAGAAATCTCTGGACGCTTTCCAGCCAGACCTGGTGGTCTTCGGTGGGCTGCAATTGATGGAGGTGCAGACGGATGAAAATGCTCGTCTGACGCGTCTTAAAGCCTTGTCGGAGGTGCTTCAGAACCTCTTTGTGGCCCGGACGCCGACTCATTATGAGTTTGCGGCTGTGTCGGACTTTAGTCTCTTCGATGACACGGTTCGACTCGTGCTGCCCTGGGTGGATTCCATTGGTCTAAATGAGCAGGAGCTCTTTATTCTACACCACTACCTCGTTACGGGCGAAGAAGGTACAGCTACAACTTCGCGTCCTACCGTGGCGGAAATTAGCGCTCAACTTCACGACGTCATACAGTTTGCGTCAAAAGCCAAAAAGAATTTCCAGACGAACAGCGAAGACAAGGACGCGTCACTAGCGTTGGCGCAACTCTCTCGTATCCACTTCCATACATTGCAGTTCCACATTGTGTGTCAAAAGACAGGAAGTATGTGGGAAGACCCCAAGACGGCGCTAGTACAGAGCGCGCTTATGAGCTCTAAGGTGGCATGTGGCAAGCCACCAACTCCAGCTGCTTCTGACGACAGCGACAAGCCCAAGCCTATGCGTACTAGTGCGGAGATGGAGGTGGATCCGGAGCGTATCGAGATCCTACTGGCTCGCCAGCAACTGCTGAGTAAGCGCCAGGATCTCAAGGTGGAGCTGGACCCGTTCTCGCCTATTGTCACGTGGCAAGAGGCCGATTTCCAGTGCCACCTTGTGCCCATGTTGGCCTGCAAGAAACCCGACCATACTGCCGGCTTGGGAGACAACATCTCCGGCACCGGTGTGGCGTACCACCGCATCCAGAAGAAGAGTGACGCTAACAACTAAGCCAACTACAGGTAGGACCATAAGTCCACACCAAAATTTCGAGTGAAGTTGCATAATATCTAGAATTCAACTGGTCGATTTTATTTTCGGGCCAGAATTCGAAATATTGTTGTAGGATACAATTTCTATGGAAGATACTTCGAGGTACGCCGCTTCAACTCTCTCACTTCCGGATCCTCCCCGTCAAGCTCAGTGCATCCTAGAAGAAATGAAGTTCTCCACAGCTCTCATCGCCTTGACCTGCGCTGTTGTGTGTCTGGCCAACCCCACGGCTTCTATGAGCGAAGTGCACCTCCGAGTGCACGTTGACAAGGGTGTCTGCTACACTGCGTGTCCTTTCGTATACCTCCTCTCCTTCAAGGGTCGGGTAGTCCGCGGCTGTTCAGGGAGTACGGTCTTGTTCAGTGGCTGCAGGAACGGTAGATAGGAACACTAGAGAGTTGAAAAAAAAAGTTTGTTGATTGGCTTGGATTCCTCTTGAGTAGAAGGAGGGCAATATAAGACTGAGAGCTAACCGGAAGAGAGGCCTAACACCTTCTCGACCTTACATACACTACACTACATATTAAAAAAAAGGAAGGATCCACTTCGTTTGTTGTCGGCCTTCGTGGGACAACGGAGAGCCTCTGGGAAAGGGCTTGATGTCGCGAGGTGCTTTTGGAGAGCCTCTGGGAAAGGGCTTGATGTCGCGAGGTGCTTTTGGTCCCCCGACGCCAAGACTCCGGCGTTCAGGGGTCCCCTTATAGGACCACCCTAACGGGCTCGGTCAAGGGTACGTGCGAGGTTGAGTTCAACGGGAACCACCCTGACGGGACGGCGGGGCGAGGAGTGATTCCAGGGTCTCGGGTCATCCCGACGGGAGGCAGAGCTCCTGGAATGACCCCTCCGTTCCCGGGTACGGGACATCCTCCCCGACTTGTCGTTCGTCGTCCTCGGCGAACGGTTCCTCTGCGTACATCTCTCACGTTAGTACTATAGACTCCGTCGTTAGCAACTTCTTCAGACAGGGGAGGTTGGAACGCTTCGTGGTAGTTGATTCTAGTTCCGACGAGAGTTCGGAGGACGACGAGCCTCCCAATAAGCGTCTACAGCTCTCTCACAAGTCTCGGAGGGCGAAAGAGCGCGCGAAGCGTTCCCGTTCCCCGTCTCGCAGTTCTACCTCCCTGAAGAAGCCTCGATTAAGTTCGTCGCGCAAGCGGTCCTCTTCATCTTCACGCGCTAAAGGCAAACTCAAAGCGCGCGCTGCTTCGCCAGAACGTTCTGTTTCTCCTTTACGGTCACGATCGAAGTCCCCAGGGCGCAAGAAGTCCCGTCGGTCACGTTCTGAGGAGCGTCCTGCGTCTCGGTCGAAGTCTCCGACGAAGTCCTCAACCATCAAGACGAGTAGGGAGTCCCGGCGGGACAAAGCAAGATCACCTTCGCACTCGAAGGGGAGTAAAGTCACCTCCGACAAACCGACCGACGGCAAAACGCCGACTCCTCCGTCAGCTCCAGCGTCGCGGGACGGTACGCGTAAGCGGTCGCGTTCGGTGTCTTCCTTGAAGAAGGCAGTGCCCCCTAAGGGACGCTCAGCCGCGCGGTCCCCGTCAGCACCTCGGAAGTCGAGTTCGCCGGGTGATCATTCAGCTCCTTGTTCGCCGGCTAAAAAGTCCGACAAAACAGCCTAACGAGAGGTCGTCGAGAAGTTATTGATTCGTACCATTCCAGAACCTTTCCTCACTGGATGAGAGTAAGAGTACTGGCATCGTCTTCCTTTTTAAGTTTCTTTTTGTTTTTCACCACGATTCGTCCCCACTTGTTGTTTTCGTTTTTTTTTCTTGAGATCGCGGTAAGATTGTTTTTCTTTTTGGTATGTAGGAGATCAGCCACTTGTGAAGTAGAATCCAAAAATATACAAAGTCGTAAGAAGTGTTCTTCAGGACACTTTCGAGGGAGGCGGGGTCGTGAGTTTACTCTGGCTCATTGGATCGACCCGCCACGATTCCCCCTCCCTAGAAGAGTAGCTCTTCTTCGTCAACGGTGGCGTTAGCGTCTTCCAACCGCGCGCTGCGACGTAGTTCTGGTAGGTCTCCCTCCCGACGACGGGTTTCTTCGAACGCCTTGATCAGAGCAGCGTAGGTGGGCAATAGTGTGTTTCGTGGTCTCCAAAGAGTCTCGTAGGTAGCTAACAACACCAGGAACTGCTCTTCACGGTTCTTTTTGCGTCGGGCGATTATGTCGATCACAGAGCAAGGAACTCCGGTCAGGGCCGTCTCTTCCCCTCCAATCAGGAGTCTCTCTACGAAGCTAGTAGAGGGGAGGTCCTCTTCTGATAGAGGTCCGTCGTCGTCTACACCCGGACTCGACTGGACTCCCTCGGGTACTTCAGAAGGGAACGGTCGGCTCCATCGCCCTTGGAAACGTTTCAACCTATTGACGTTAATGGTCACGACCCGATTGGGGTGAGAAGGGATGGCTACTCGATAGGAGTTCTCTCCCACAATCCCGACCACACGGTACGGACCATGCCACGCGAAAGCGAACTTCTTCGTGGTCTTTTCCCCGCGACGAGCTCGGAAGTACTGGTAGACCCACACCGGGTCTCCCTCCTTGAACTTAATCGGTACTTGGTTGCTCAGTCGTTGCCCTGGGCCTTCAAGAGTTGGCGCTCTACTAATCGTCTCGTATCCCGTAGAGATAAGAATAGCTTTCGTCTGTAGCTAGCGACTTCGTTACTCTTCCATCTGTTGTTCGTGTTGAGAAACGCGAGGTCCAGAGGTAACACCGGGTCCCGGCCATACAGGCTGAAGAATGGTGAGTCCTTAAGGGCCTCGTGATACGACGAACGATATGCGAACAGTACTCGGGGAAGATATAAGTCCCAGTCGTTCTGAGCTTCGTTGACATACATCTTAAGCATCCCGATCAGCGTGCCGTTGAAGCGTTCGACTAGCCCCTGAGTCTGAGGATGGTAAGCAGCTCCAAACAACTTCTTGATCCCGAGTGTATCGTAGAAGGATCGTGCCAGGTTCGAGATGAAGTTGGATCCTTGGTCGCTCAGTAGTTTCTCGGGGACTCCGTGCCGCGAGATCACTTCGTTCACCATAACTTCCACGAACGTTACAGTGTCCAAGCGGGCCACTGGGAACGCTTCGACCCATCGAGTGAAATAGTCAGCGAAGACGAGTATGAACTTGTTGCCTCGAGGAGTAGCCACTAAGGGACCTATGGCGTCCACCACTAATAGCGAGAAAGGTCCCGATAGTTCTTGTACGGGCATCCTCTGCATTCGGCCATTTCTCCAAGGGCGATAGCCTTTACCACTGCCGCACACGGGTGCATTCCCGAACATATTCGGCCACATCCTTCTTCCACCCGTGCCAGTAAGCGTGCTTGCGCACTTTGTCGAGCGTCTTAGTAACTCCGACATGAGCGGCAAGTACATCCTTATGACAGTGATGTAGTACCGTCGATATGAAAGGCAGGGGAATCACAGGAACTTCAAGAGTAGACGCCGGTCCAGCGCGAGCCTTCAGGTGTACGCGACGCATGAGTACTCCGTTCTTTACCGAGTAGTTAGGCGCCATCAGCAGGATTTTGGTGCGCATTTGAGGGTCCAGAGCTAGAGCTCCATCGCTAAGGAACGCTATCATAGCTTGGATCCAGGGTGTCCTCTTCTGTTCTTCCACGAAGCGAGTTTGTTGTAACCCGAACACATCAACGGGGGACACTAGGAGTTGGTCGGTAACCTCTTCTTCGTCGGGGAACGGCTCGGGTCTAGCTTCGCCAGCGTCCTCGGGCAAGGTCCCTGAAGGGAGCAGAGTCGAGTCGAGAGTCGTAGTCTCCCCGACTTCGACAGTACAAGGAGGGGGCTCGTCAGCATCGTTGAGTAGCTCCGCCATCGAGATAGCATTGATGGTTTGGGTATACAGCCTGGACAGACCATCCACATGACCCATCGAAGTACCATGCTTGTGGAACACCTTGAAACGTAATTGAGACAACTCCATGGCCCACCTAGCCAGCTTAGCGTTGCTCGTACGATTAGTTTCGTTGAATACCCACGTCAAAGCTTTGTGGTCCGTGTATAGGTCGAACTCGCAACGGTCCAGGTAGCAGCGGAACTTGCGCGTTGCCCAACCGATACCCCAGCACTCGATCTCCGACGTACCGTCCTCCTTATGGACCCAGTTCTTCTCGGAGCCAACTAGTAGCTTGCTCGCATAGGCCACGACTCTCTCGCGCCCCTCCACGGTTTGCATCAAGCACGCCCCTACAGCGAGCTTAGACGAGTCCACATATAGAAGGGAGCGCTTCGAAAAGTCGGGATACACCAGGATAAGAGGTTCCACCAGCTTACGCTTTAGTTGCAGGAAAGCGGCCTCGCAGTCGTCGCTCCAGAAGAATCGGGCCCCTTTCATCTTAAGCCGTTCGATTGGGGCCGATATGGCTGCGTATCCCGGGATGTACCGCCTGAAGTAACTAGTCAAACCCAGGAACGCCCTCACAGTGTACAAGTCGTGCGGTCTGAGCACGTTCATCACCGACTTGACCTTTTCGGGGTTGGGCAATATGTCAGACGGAGTGACGATGTGACCCAAAAACGCTACCTGGTCGCGTGCCCACTTGCACTTTTTCGTCTTGAGCTTGAATCCCGCCGACCGGAACCGTTCCAAGACTTGTTTTAGTCGTACTAGGTGGGTAGGAAAGTCTTCACTGAAGACCACGCAGTCGTCGAGGTACACTAGACAAGTCCGCCACTTAAGGTCAACATCAACAGTCTCCATCAGTCGTTCGAAGGCCGGTACGGCATTACACAGTCCGAACGGCATTACGAGCCACTCGAAAAGACCATATTTGCAGGTGAAGGCAGTCTTCTCCACGCTATCAGCAGCCATCGGAACATTCCAGTAGCCGGATGCGATGTCCATCGTGGAGAACAGCTTAGCGTTGCCAAGTACATCTAGAATGTCATCGATGAGCGGCATCGGGTAGCAGTCCTTGATAGTCACAGCGTTCAG